TGACACATCCGGAGTTCCATCTGAGTATCGTTTTTTTTGGTGGTTGAACCTAGTAAGATTGTATTCCTTATATAAAATACTATACCCAAAAGGAGGATAGAATCTTACTCTATAATGGGTACCATAGTATCACCAAATAAAATACTACTCATGAGGGTTTAGGGGGTCAGGGCTCAATTGTGCAACCTCCCTCACCAGTGATCCTCTGATTCTCTGTCTTAGCAACCACTACACATCGATAGCCCTAAACCCTGACCGTAATCCTCAAAACTTTGATCACTGAATACTAAACTCTGAACTCCTTAACCTCCAAAACCATTCAGCCTCAAACTCTACGAAATCCCATGCATCCCCAAATAACAGCGTAGTTTTCATGTTCTTTTCCAGTCCCCATATACTTACCCTCCAGAATCACTTTCCCTACTACCCTAAACCCTAAATAGTGGTTTCCATGTCATTTGCTTTTGCATTTGATTTTCCAGTAAGGATAATACTTTGGAATGTCTCCTTATGTAGTGCCTAAAAGGCCCTAAACCCACACCCTACCCCCTCAAACCCTAAACGAACTGCCCAGCAGAGCTGCCAAGAGCAGGAAGGAGCGGTCCAGTTTCCTCATCCTTTGGTAACTCTATCAATATGATATAGGGATTATCCTAAACCCAAGCCCTAAACCCTAAACCCTATAGAGGTGAGGGATGATATAGGGTTTAATTGAAAATCCCGCCAGCGATGGAACATCAAACAGAAAAATGAACAATAATGGAACGGAAACGGTGGTATTGATGTGGTTTATAAGGATTGGGGTTTAGAGGTTAGGGCTTAGAGACTGGGTTTTAGGGTTTAGAGATTTGGGATGAGGTTGTAGCTTTTCTCGGAAAGAACTATGGGGATCCCCGTTAAAGATTATCCCAGGGATTACTGTAATTGAAAAACGTTGATAAGGATCGGGATAGTTGGTTTCTGATCTGAACTTCAGGCGCTGAGGGCTTGGGCGTTGAGAAGCAGTTAACCGCCACATGAGCTACTGTCTAAACTCCTAGTATCCGCCTTAATAACCCCTATAGTAGTCCCCTATATAATACCCTATATAACCCCCTTTAAGGAGTTTCGACTATAGTTCACATGAGAGCCAGATCTTTGCGGCGAGTCTTAGGGCTTAGGGCTTCCCTGAACCCTAAACGCAATTCCAAGGAACCCAAGCTCACACTTATCACATCCCCATAGGGCTATATATGGGTACTGGGTTCCGGCTTTAGGGTTTAGGGCTTACTTCCCTATAGGGCTAGATTGGGGTATAGGGTTTAGGGTTCAGGGTTTACTTCCCCGTAGGGCTATTTAGGGGTATAAGCCCAACCATGGTGAATCAAATCGAAAAGAAGACGCAGAATGAAATGGAAGCTACTATTTGGGTTTAGGGTATAGGGTTGATATGGGAATTTCCCAGAATCATCAGGGCCCTTTTGGCCTAAGATATATGTGGGATTTAAAGAAGGCCATATGGGTTATGGCGCAGAGACTCACTTCAGAGTGATTGCTTTGAGACAAAGCCACACTGCAAGTGCCGCCCTACACGATGCTCTCCAAAACCAAGATGTATTTTGCAAAAACATCGAATGGGGCTCACTTGCAAACCACGACCGAAGACGTCACCTCATGCTCTTTCAAATATGGACCAATCGCCAAGATCATCCCAACCTTAGGGGTCCCCTCCCAGCAACACAACACACTGTATATTCTTTGTGTAGTACCAGAAGAGAACGAGGAAAAAGCACATCCAAGCTGCCAGGCCCACTTGCAGGTAGTAGATGGCCAAGAGCATCCAGCAGTAGGGAGACAGGTGACCCTTCGCTGCATGGCTGATGCCGCGGTCCTGCGGCTGAGTGTTACATGCATGGCTGAAACGGAACCCCCGAAAAACTTCTAGGATAGGTCCTTAAAAGGAAGGGGTTTTAATCATGGGTCTACCTTAGGGCAACCGGATCATTCCATCAAGGATTGCACTGCTTGCGAATTGGAACTGAGAAGTTGATGTGCAGAGCTGGGAATTGCTCTTTGCCAACCATTTGACGTCTTCCTAGCGACGCATGTGACACGACAGAACTTGATGATCAAGATCATGAGAACGGACCTTATGTTCCAGAAGAGTCTGTCATGAGATTCCTTCCATGCGAATAACAGAATCATTACTCCTATGATTACTACTATTGTTACCATGTTTCTTATTCTTCCTAATATTACTAGTATGACTAGACTAGTATTCCTGTTATTACTATTATTCCTATTACTACTATTACTATTATGCCTATTCTGCCTATTAAGCCTATTATGCCTATTATTCCTACTATTCCTATGACTACCCTTAATCCTAAACCCCAAACCCTAAACCCTGTTATTACCATAGGAGGTGCCGAGTCCTTCGCCCAGCGGCGCACCAGCAGAATCAGCTTCCCAGCCAAAGGATTCAGCTGCCTCGCGGCCTGGCAGCATGCATCTTCGGGCTTCGAGTCCTAATAATAGTACTTAGGGTTTAGGGTTTAAGGTTTAGGGTTTAGGTTTTAGGGTTTATAACAATAGCAATAACAAATTCTGCTAATAGTCGTAATACGAATAATAGCAATAGTAGTAATACTAATACTTACTACAAAGGAGGCTTGACTCAGCAGCTGAAGTAGGATAGGTTTCTTAGGGGGTATATTGCAGGGGTATAGGGCCCAGTAATGGGGAATCAAATGGAAAATTATATGGACAGCAAGGAAACTCGTGCACCCTGCTCGGAAGTTGACATATTCTGAGATCTTCTGGTCGTGCAGAGGGGCTGCAAGGGTTAGTTACCTTTCCATGTTCCATTTTCTTTTCCATTCGATTGAACATTATTGGGCAATACCGTATATAACTTTATAATGCTCCCAGCGCAACCCTTTAATACATGTTTTTTGAAAGCTCCTCAGCTGTTGCGACTTGTGGAGCGCAGTGGCTCAGAGCTTGGGATTTAGGAGCTAGGGTTAAGGGTGAGACACACACTTCCCACCTCTTTGTCTTCATGAAATAATTTTGGACTTTGCAACCTTTGGACAGCAGCATCACAAGCATCATGGTCTGTCATTTGACATCTTGCCGAGTACCTTCGCGGTCTTGAGATGGATTCCGGGTTCAGTGCCATGCCCAGAGAGCTTTTGCTAAGGCGTCGACCCTGCTAGAATGACTCCCTTCAATTTCAGAACATCGCATGCCTAGTATGTAAAATGGAAAGGCCAGCATGCGCCGCAAGCCATGCAACAATGCGGATCCAGCTCTCCAAGAAAGACACCCAACATCAGCGCCCTCACGGAATTAACCCCCCCCGCCAAATAGTAAAACTCCTACCCCCTTATATCAAACATTCCCATTGTAGTGTACTACAATATCTTGGGAATATTCGGGCGGTCGTGGGGTTCATATTCTTAGCGCTCAAAGCCATGCCTAAGTGCTCTCAAGGTTATGGTTGCTCTTTGGAGTGGGCGACTGTGGCAAGACACGGTTGGGGGACTAGGGTTCTAGTAGGGGCTCCGGGCTGAGGACTATACCATTTTGCTTAAGGAAGATCCTAAACCTTATGGTTTCCATTCCTTATCGGGCTTCGTACCACCAAGCTTTGAAACCTATATAACCCCGATCATGACGCACTATCATTCTTACAAGAAACCCAGTTATACCCAAAATTAATCTGCTTGGTACTTTCATGTGACCCTCCATGCAACTTGAAACCCTGAACCCAAGGTTCAGAGTATGGGCCCTTGATATTGGCCCGTAACGTCTTTCGGGAGATTCCATGGACCCTTGAGGATACATTTGGGGTATCGACTAGGTAGAGGAACCCAGGATGTCGAGCCAGCACAGGGAGCCCATGACTGTAATCTTAGAAATGGCAGGAAGGCTTATCCCCCCCTAAGCCTGAAACCAAAATAACGTCCTAGTTACCCTTTTCCTGTCCTACTTACTACGGCCCCCTGACCCATGGTAGTTTCCGAGTTCTTTTCCATTCCCTCATCTATCATCCCGAGATGACCCTAGTTTCCATCTCATGTTCCTTCTGATTGTCCATTTCATGTTCCTTTTGACGGTCCATTTGGTTTGCCGGTTGATTCTCCATTATAGTAGGTTGTAAACTGGCACGTTCCACGTTCTTTTCCATGCTCTTTCTTACCCAGAACCCGAAACCGGAAATTATCCGTATACAAGCCTTTTTACACGAACCCCTATACAACTTGTGCGAACCCTAAACCCTAAGCCCTAAACCCCTCAACCCTAGATTTCTAAACCCCAAACCCCTAAACCCCCTAGATTGTTTTACCTTGCCAGCTTGCCTCGAAGATTAGCGCAGCACGGCCAGGCGTCGGGGCGTTGACGGCCAGGTTGAAGGGGATGCTGCCCTGTCGAAATGTGAACGTGTATATATATATATAGATATAGATATAGATATAGATAGATACATAGATAGATAGGTAGATAGATAGATAGATAGGGAGAGAGAGAAAGATACACATATAGGGATCATGTAGGGTTTTTATAGGGACTGAACTAGCGTTGTATGATATAACCTCTGCATAAATCCTAGAATTTCCCTTATATGTATAAACATATATATATATATGTATATATATACATATCTATAGATATATATATATGTTTATTTATAGAGATACATATAGATATAAACATATGTTTGAAGGGGATGCTGATCAAGAATCGAATGGAAAACCAACCGGAAAATATTATCGAAACTAGTGTTACATGAAAGGGATGCTGCTAATGCAGGCCCTACATAACCCCTCTACAATCCCTATCCTGTATAATCCTCCAGAAGCCCTATAAAACCTTACATGAACCCCTATATACTATATACACATATGCTAACACACCCCTCCCCCCCAGAAACCCACCTTTTCACTGTTAAGCATATTACATAAATGTGCTTGGCAGACATGGGGCATTGCGCGAAGATCAGGATACCTTCAAGCCTTGAATGCTTTCCGGGGTCATTTGCGGATTAGAATGAAACAAACTGCTGCGCACGCAAACCCCTTTTGAAGAAAGGTCAAGCTGATAGAAAGATTCTGTGGGGACACAAGGTCAGAAAGGGAGCCAGTTGAGCGTCAAAAGGGGAATGTTAAGATAATGTTGGCAGCTACTAAAGGCCAAAAGTCCTGTTGACACTCCGTGTCTACGGGGGTAAGGGGGTAAGGGGGAAGCATGACTACGTATATCCTTTTTCGGAATAGCGGCACCTGAGTTGAGCGGGGCCATGCACGCAGGGATGATTTGGGGAATATGGCACGTTACAGCATTCACTCACCCCAAAACCCCAGATGCATTTGTCGGGGTTCCATATCAATTTGTTGCAGGGGCCCCTTAACCCTACCCCCTAAACCCTAAAACCCTCAACCCTGGCCCTTAAACCCCGGACCTGAAAAACTTAAAGGCACCAGCTGTATTTGTCTCGGAAACATGTATCCCGCACCTCTTCCGCTGGCGCAATGAGAGTCACCTGACCAGGGAAGATGGGGAAGGCGCCCTGGAGGTCCTAACAAGCTTTAAAACTTTAGGATAGGGGTTATAGAGGGGTTATATAGGGATTGTATAGGGATTATATTGGGGTTATATAGGGGCTATGTAGGGATAATGGAAAAGAAAATGGAAACTACCATGTAGGGTTTAAGGTTTCGGGCTCAGGGGTTAAGAGCGCAGGTCTAGGCTTTCGGGGACAGGGGGATGATATGGTCCCTGTTAGCTTGCTGTGAACCCCCAAGCCTAAGCCATCATCCCTAAGCCTAATCTCTAAAGCCCTAGTCCAAAAAAATCACTGCAACAACCCCAGTTTTAATTCCGTTCTCCATGCTCTGTTGCCATTGGATTCTCCATTCTTGTGACTGTAATCCGAAACCCTAAACCCTAAACCCTAAACCCAACCCTAAGAATTTAGTCCCTTGCCCCAATCTTAAGCACTAGGTAGCCAGTGCCTTCGGCTCTGGTCCGCGGAAGGCGCTGCGCCTTGAGGATTATAGGGTTATATTGGGGGAATATTGGGGTTATATAGGGTTTTACAGCGGTTATATAGGGTTTTGTAGGGTTTTATAGGGGTTATATAGGGTTTTGTAGGGTTTTATAGGGGTTATATAGGGTTTTATAGGGTGTTATAGGGGTTATGTAGGGTTTTGTAGGGTTTTATAGGGGTTATATAGGGTTTTGTAGGGTTTTATAGGGGTTATGTCGGGTTTTGTAAGGGTTACAGTGCAACCACTGTACAAGAAATGACTGGTTAAGAAATGTAGGGCCTACGTCGGCTGGATAACACGAAAAAGCA